ATGGATGGATGGATGGATGGATGGATGGATGGATGGAATAAGTTCCAGTTGGAATACATCAGACTTCACCAGGGTGATCCCAACAGGCTGGGAAATGTGAGTCAAAAATGGATCATTGAAGAATCAGGAGCAGAAGGACTTTAGCTGCTGTTTTCTTTTCAGATGTGAGGGTTTGCCTTCTCCTCCACAAGAACTTTTAGGTTTGTGGTCGGAATGATCAAATTAGTGGTCTCTCTTGTTTCAGGGATCCATGAAACAGCAGGTGAGTCTACCTCCAGTAACCTCTCCCACTGCACAGGAGAGCAATGGACATAAAACAGGCCCTGTGGCACACACCAGAGTCCTTCAACCCTTTGCCATCCTAAAAACCCCAAATGCTGCCTCAGACCCATGAGTCAGTGCTGTTAGTAGTGCCTTTCCATGGCTCTCCAAGGTTTCTGGAAACCCTGGATTGAACTTGGGGTCTTTCTGTGTACCAGGTGATTGGGAACTCAATCCCATTCTCTATCCTTCATTCTTCCATTTTGCATGTTTTTTTTAATCCTTGAAAACAAAGTCACACCCAACATGCCATCCTGCTGACTACAAGAGACTGAGGCCCTAATCCTCTGTGGGACTCTAAGAAGAGCCTGTCCCAGAGGAAAAAGCATAGGCATCTGGGCAGCCTTCTACTGTAGTTGCAAAGAGACATCACTGTGATGCCCAGCAAAAAACTCAGGATGAAGGAAGTGACTGCAGAGATTTGGGAGAAATGGCCTGTTCCTACCGCTTGAGTGCATCCCTTTCCTCTGCCCAATGACATGGCTGGCTGTGTGTGCTCAGCTTCCATGCCCTGCCAGTGTGAAATCAGATATAGTGAACCCAGCTGTGAATGGGAAAAGGTTTTTGTGAATGGGAGAGGTTTTTCAGACATACAAGGGGTACTCAGCATTCGGCAAGAGAGAACTGGATCCCCATAGATGGAGACACCCCTGGAACTTCTGGGAAGCTTTTTGCCAAGCAGGAAGGGGGGAGTGTAATTTGGAGGGAGAACATTTACCTGTTCCCTGTTCCACTGGCTGCCTGTGTGTCCCTGTTCGTATGATGTCCCCCTTAGCCTTGACCTGCAGGGAAAGAAAAAATTCCTGCTAGATGTGCTAGGGCTTGGAGAAATTGATTCATTAATTGATTGATTGATTGATTGATTTGCAACTCTAAGCACTGGCTGTCATGTTAGATATATGGACCCCTAGAATTGTGAATTGTCTAGTTTAACCTTTAGATTAAAACAATAATAATAATTCACCCATGGCGTTAATCAGGAATCTGGTGAATTTGATGATTGTCTGAAGGGAACATATTTTGAGATGGCAAGGCTAAAATTCAGGCCCAATGGAGGCCTTCGTGGCCTTGGAAAATCCCAAAGGAAAAGACTAACTAGCCTGTGGATTAAGCATGTGACCAAAACCACAGAAGGCATGCTTGACTAGTTTTATTATTTCTATATCTTTTCTATTGTATGCAAGCTTCCCCTTATGTAACCAAGCAAAAGCAAAGAAATATATAAATATCTGCCTCACACTGTGTTTGGGATTCCTCCACCTTTAGGGAGCACCATCTTTATTCAGCTGAATAAACATGTTTGCCTTATCAAGACTAATCCGGACTCTGTCTTTTATTTTTTACTGAGTCACACCTGCAATCCTGCATAACAATGGAATTGCAGTATGTTAGTTAGCAGGTGCAAGATATGGCTAAAGCAATTGTTCTGAAGTATGCAACTCGGGACAGTGCCAAAGGAATTGAGAAGCTGAAATGTTACATCTAGACAACGTTGAAAAAGCACCACGCAATCTAAAACCATCTCCATCAATTGGACCGGATGGAATATGTGCCTCCTTCTTAAAAAAAACTACCCACTGCCATAGCCGAACCTCTAAGCATAATCTTTGAAAAATCTTTCAGGACCAGCTACTTGCCAAAACTATGGTCTCAAGCCACGGTCATCCCCATCTTCAAAAAGTGAGACCCAGCCTAGTTGAAATTTACAGAGAAATCTCTTTATGCTGCATCACCTTTAAAGTCATGGAATCAATTATTAACCAATCCATTATCCTCCACTTAGAGACAAACAACCTACTCTCTAATGAACAATTTGATTTCAGAAAAGACTATCCTGCAATCTGCAACTCTTACACTGCAGAAATATATGGACTACACAACTTGATCAGGGCAAAGCAATAGATGCAATCTACATGGACTTCTGTAAAGCCTTTGATTCAGTGGTACACGACAAACTACTCCTAAAACTAAAATCTTATGGTATCTCTGGACACCATAAGGATTCCTTCAAATAGACAAAAAGTGGTTAAAATTGGGAGCGTCCTATCAAATTCTGTACCTGTCAACAGTGGTGTTCCCCAGGGCAGTGTTCTAGGACCAACTCTCTCCATACTCTACATAAATGACCTCTGCGATCATATTAAGAGCAACTGCATTCTCTTCGCTGATGATGTAAAGCTATTCAGCACCACAGATAATACTGCTACCCTTCAGAAAGACCTCGAATATGTATCAGAATGGTCAAACAAATGGCAACTTCAAATCTCAACAAATAAATGCTCTGTCTTACATATTGGCAAAAAAAAATATCAGAAAATAAAATACGAGCTTAAATAGTCAAGACCTTGTTGATGATCCAAACTCTGTCAAGGACCTTGGAGTTCTGATCTCTAATTATCTAAGTGCTAGAGCCCATGTAACTACATAGCCAAAAAGGCATTAAGAGTTGTTACCCTAATCCTATGTAGCTTTTTCTCTGGTAATATTACACTACTAATGAGAGCATACAAAACATTTGCTAGACCAATACTTGAATACAGCTCATGAGTCTGGAACCCACATTACGTATCTGATATTAACACAGTTGAGAAAGTCCAGAAATATTTCACAAGAAGAGTTCTCCACTCCTCTACTCGTTGCAGAATACCTTATGCCATAAAACTTGAAATTCTAGACCTAGAAAACATAGAATTATTCCGCCTTCGGTCCGATCTAAGTATAGTATATAAAATTATACATTGCAATGTCCTACCTGTCAATGAATACTTCAGCTTCAACCATAACAACACAAAAGCACACAATAGATACAAACTCAAGGTAAACCACACCAAACTTGATTGCAGGAAATACGACTTCAGCAACAGAGTGGTCAATGTCTGGAATACTCTACCTGACTCTGTGGTTTCTTCCCCAAACCCCAAAAACTTTAACCTTAGACTGTCTACTATTGACCTCAGCCCTTTCCTAAGAGGTCTGTAGGGGGCGTGCATAAGCGCACCAACATGCCTACCGTCCCTGTCCTATTGTTTCTTTTTTATGTTTCTTTTTTATTTTTCTTATATGTATCCATTTCATGTATCCATAACTATGTTTATACTTATTATACCTGTTATCTTATAATTGCTTGACAAAATAAATAGATAGATAGATAGATGGATGGATAGATAGATTAGATAGATAGATAGATAGATAGATAGATAGATAGATAGATAGATAGATAGATAGATAGATAGATAGATAGATAGATAGATAGATAGATAAATCTAGTAGTATAAGGGGCTTGTTAACACAAGTTCCCCACTTTTGGGAAAAGGACTCCATCTTAGAAAAACTCTGGCTTTACCAATGCCCTGAAAATTCTCACCAGATGCTGCTGTAGCATTACAGATACTTTGTTATGTTTGTGCAAGATAAACTATAAGCAGGGGGTTCCCAGATTACATGTAGTCCTCAATTTACTACCACAATTGAGCCCAAAATTTCTGTAGCTGAAGTAAAACAATTGTGATGTGAGATTTCCGCATTTTACAACTTTTCTTGCTACGATTGTTAAGTGAATCACTGCAGTTGTTAAGTTAGTAACACGGTTGTTAAGTACATATGGCTCCCCCATTGACTTTGCATGTCAGAAGTTCACAAAGATCCCCAGGACATTGCAACTGTCATAAATATGAATCGGTTGCAAGGATCTGAATTTTAATCACCTGAACTTAACTGCAATGATCAGAAGAAAAATGGTAATGTCACTTTTTTCAGTGCAGCTATAATTTCGAATGGCCACTTTAAAAATTGTTTTAATTCAGGGATTATCTGTACAATATATACTTCAATTAGCAAATGAATCGGTTTTCTGGAATTGAATATTACAGAAATTATCCATATCTTAGCATGGAGGTTCCTAACCCCGGACGGCAGCCCACTATTATTGGGCCTTGAACTATTCGGAACCAGGCCATGGAAATGGCAGGTGAGCACGTGCATGCCCACCTCCACACTCACATGGAGATATCCCCTCTACCACCAGTCCACAAAGCCAGAAAAGTTGGAGAACCCTGTCTTAGTATGATAAGACATACACACACATATGCATTAATCCTGATTAGTATTTTCTGTGAATACAGCTTTTGGATCTCTGGGCCTTTCCTAAGTAGAAAGGCATGCATGCCATTCTTGAGTTTTCTGAAAACTAACTTGGTGTGAATCTGCTCTTCTCAGTGGGCATCCTTTCTCTGTGGCTTTTATTTCAGCTCATTACAATCACCTTCCAAAATCATGGAAAACCCGGCTTCCGGTTTGAGTTCCTTTGGTGACAGATAGAAATCCGTGATCGTGCACGGTTTTGGTCTGGGCTTATCGATGGAGTGCCCCGAGCCGGCTGGTTTTGGGGCTAAGCCATCCCGTAGAGGTGGTGAAGAGGGGGGGAGACTTCCAGCAGGGTTGAGGAGAGCCGCATCTTTCCTCCTCAGCTGGCCAATACTCCCTTTCCCCAAGGTGGTTGCAGCGGGGGTCAGAAATGGCCATCTCAAAGAAGAACTCAACCAGAAAAGAATGTGCAGGAGGAAGATAAGAAGTGAAAGTTTTGGCTGACCGGGTTAAATTGCAAAAGCAACAACTAAGGTACCCTGGAATTTAAACTTACAAAAAAATAACATCGCTCCCAAAGAAGAGTCGGAAGCAATGAAGGAAAGTGAAAAGGGAAAGGTTTGTTTGTTTTTTTTCTTCTCTCCCTTTCCCTATACTGACAACTAAGAGACAAATAAAAAATCGGAAAAATCCGCTTTGACATCAATAGGCAATTAAGCTGAAAATAAAACAAAATGTCAAAGGGATAATAAAGATTTCTGGACACTAAATTTTTTTTTCATAAGCAGGAAGGGAGAGAAAAAGAATAAAAGGGCAGGATCTGGAAAGAGGGAGGAGTCTGCCTGGAATTAAAAAGAATCTACAGTAAAACTTCAACAAGATTTCTAAAAGATACATTTTAACTGAAACTTTGTAACTAAACAGTAGAACCCCAGGAAGAAAAAGTGAAAAAAATGGAAATTTTAGAAAATTGGAAACAATGTATGCTTAAAATGAGGGATAAAATAGTTAGTGTAATTTAGTGAAATGTTTGTTAATAAAATAAGTGAAATAAAATAAATGAGAAAATTGAATTAGGAAGGGACGGGAACATTTTAATTAGTTAATGTTTTATAAAATAGAAGTGAAGGGGGGGGATTAATTATGGAAAGCTTATAATTGTTCCCATAGAAGTATGATAATTAATTGAAAAGTAATGCTAAAGAAGTTAAGATTTTAATGAATATTAACATTAATGATAGAATTGAATTGGAATGGAATGTGTTGTTTTAATTACATATATTTATAATTTTTTCTTTTTTTAAGAATATAGTGTGTATTTTAAGAATGTACCAAGCAGAATCCGAATGGAAGTTATGTATTATATTCAATGTTATAACTTTAGGGTATATATTGAAGCCTAAATAAGAGTTAAATGGATAAACTTAAAAGATATAAAAGAGTCATACTCCAATCAGTAACTACAGGAGAAACTTTGTTTAATGAGAAAAGATAATAGATAATTGAAACAGGACAGACAAAAAATATAAATATAATGATTTGAATTGAGACGAGATAATTAAAATAAAATTGAGAAAATTAAAAGAGGGGAGAAGCTATGTAGAAAATGTAAAACAGTAATAAGATATGGAATAGAACATAAAAATGAGCATGAAATTGAATTTGTGTCTGTACGAAGAAATGTAACCCGGGATTACGCTATTTCAAAAAAGATGTTTTATTTGTATTTTTTTTGTGAAAACTCAAATAAAATTTACAAAAAAAAATATCATGGAAAACCTAATAGAAGTTATACATCTTGAGCACAAATGCTATACTTTTAAGGAAACCTTGGACAGTGGCAGAAGAATAAGAGGAAACACTACTTGGACATAGTTTAAACCACAAATTGCAGAAAACACAGAAGTGTAGCTTTGGATTTCACAGCTGACTTTTGATATAGTGGTTAAAAATACCAGCCCAGAAACTTGGAGACCGTGAGTTCTAGTCTGGCATGAAGCCAACTGGGAGAGTGTGGATCAGTCACTCGCTGTATGAGGAAGATAGGGAGAAACCTCTTCTGAAAATGTTATCAAGAAAACTCTAGGGAATTGTCCAAGCAGCCACTAGGAGCCAAGATGGGCTTACACCAAAAAGGGGGAAATCAGGAGATTTGCTTTCCCAAATACACTCACCCTAACAAGGGTACAACTAAGGATGACTTAAGCAGGACTCACTCAAGGATGAGTGAGTATATTTCTGTTGTGGTTCAGTGCACATTGGAGTATGTGCACACCTGGTATATGGCATCCAGTTTTGGTCACCACATTACAAACAAGATGTTGAGACTTTGGAAAAAGTGCAAAGAAGAGCAACTAAGGTGATTAAAGGCCTGGGGACTAGAACATATGAAGAACAGTTACAGGATTTGCATCTGGCTAGTCTAGAGAAAACAAACATTAGGGGGTGACATGATAGCAGTATTCCACTATTTGAGAGGCTGCCACAAAGAAGAGGGGGTCAATTTATTTTCCAAAGCATCAGAAGGCAGGACAAGAAACAATGGACTGAAATTAATTAAGGAGAGAAGCAACCTGGAATTAAGGAGAAACTACCTAACAGTGAGGACAATTAACCAGTGGAACAGCTTGCCTTCAGAAGTTCTGGGTGCTTCGTCACTGGAGGTTTTAAGAAGAGACTGGACAGCCACCTATCTGAAATGGTATAGGCAGGGGTGGGATTCAAATTTTTAACAACCGGTTCGGTGGGCGTGGCTTGGTGGTCATGTGACTGGGTGGACGTGGCTTGGTGGTCATGTAATTGGCTGGGTGTGGCCAACTCAATATCACTCACATTGAGGCACGCATCTCCTCGCCTGGCCTCTCGTGACTGTGGGGATGCTGCAACAGTCGTAAGTATGAAAAATGGTCATAAGTCACTTTTTTCAGTGCCACTGTAACTTTGAATGGTCACTCCACACAAGCAAAGTACCAGCAAAGGAGGGGAAAAAAAAACTCCAGAGACGTTCCTGAGACCGGAAGTCTAGTCCTGCCAAGAATGTAATAAGGGTTAACAGAGAGGCAGTTTCTGTAAGCAACACCAGAATGTCTCCTTCCTGCCTTCCTTACAGGATTAGGCCAGTAATTTCTTCTAACAACCGGTTCTCCAAACTGCTTAGAATGTTAACAACCGGTTTTAGCAAATAGGTGTGAACTGGTAGACTCCCACCCCTGGGTATAGGATCTGCTGTTTGAACAGGGGGTTAGACTATAAGTCCTCCAAAGTCCCTTCCATTGATTAATGGCTGTTTAACAAAGTGAAGCAAACATGCTGACACATGTGACACTTGTGAATGCAGCCTTCGCCTGAAGACTCACCATGTAATAGAAGACAATCTCGTCCTCCTTCTCATCACCTTGGTTAAGGATGTAACGCACCCGAACCGGCTCACGGTGGCCACAGCTTAAAGTCTTTGACGCAGGCTCAACATGTACATAACTGTTGCTTGGAGAATAAAACATGTACACTGTGTGAAATTCATTACCATGACTGGGTGTAATCCAGTGGTCGCTATTACACCAAGGTTTGTTTTGATACATAGCCTGAAAGGAAAAGCATAGATTTAGAGAAATTAGGTGGGAGGCTGGCTGAGAACATTTTGCTGACAAGGGCAAGAGAGATGGGCAGCTCAAAAATGTGACAGATCGATAGATGATAGCTAGATATTGATATACAGGAGATATTCAGTAGATATACAAATAGATAATGGATGGGTGGGTGGGTGGAAGAAACAGAAAGATGAGAGAGAAGATATACATAGATAATGGATGGGTGGATGGAGAGAAGGAGAGATGATATATAGATATACAGTAGATATAGATAGATAATGGATGTGTGTGTGTGTGTATACATACATACATACATACATACATACATACATACATACATATGAGAGGCAACCAAAAGTCAAGAGGGGGGCTGTGACTGTGCTCTGGAAGCCACACTCCATTTGTTTTACCCTCTCTCTCTCTCTCTCTCTCTCACACACACACACACACACACACAGAGAGAGAGAGAGAGAGAGAGAGAGAGAGAGAGAAAAGGAGGAGCCCTAAGTCCTTTTAACTAACTAACTAGAATAACTTCTAACTTTATTGTGACTTTAAATCTACATAATCAGCATACATTAAAATGAAATTTCAGTGCACAAAGCTCTTAAAGGGTCACCATCTCCAAAATACACTACATAAACATGACAAAAGTAAAAGTAAATAAAAAAATTAAAAATGTGCATATACCCACATATATGACACAGAGAAACAGCACACAGTCTAGTTTGGAATGTACATGGCGAGAAAAACGAATCTTGTGAGTTTCCCAGACAGATGGCCTAGGGAACAAAGCTGTTACAAAATCTGCTAGTCCTGCTAGAAATACTTCGAAACCTCCTCCCAGAGGGAAGCAACAGAAACAAACCATCAAGTGGGAATGTCATAAAATACAGCCATTGCATATCGAGAGAACTAACCGTAAAAGACAAAACGTCACTTCTGATATTACTGGTTTCTATGGAGAATTCAGCTCTCCCCTCAGCATCCGTCACTTGATAGAGCTGCTGGTGAGTTGCCATCAACAAAATCTCCACTGTTCCATTGCTGATCGGCACCTCGTGGCTGTCTACCAGCTTCACCTGTGCACAAAAAAAACACCACAATGATCCAACCGGTTGCAGCAAAATATTTCAGGATTTACCAATGCAGTTTCTATTCTGCCTTTCCTTCAGGGATGCCAAGCTTTCCTGTCAAGCCATCCTAATCTTTTTCCCCCATCGCTACAATTCTGTGAAAAAGGGGAGACTAGCAACAGGGACTTGAGCCTCGAAATAGATTTTGGGGGTGTAGCTGAGAAAGAAAGGGGACAATTTCTAAACCCAAGCAAGGAGCTGCTGAGAGAAGGTGATAAATTTTTGGTTTGATAAATGGACTCTTCATTAGGGAAAAAAGGGCTTTGGGAGTTTCAAAGCAGAGCGTCCACAGTGGATGATAGGATTAGCAATAGCACTTCTATACTGTCTCATAGTGCTTTACATACTCTCTGGACAGTTTACAATGTCGGCATTTTGCCCCCAATCATCTGGGTCCTCGGCTGCAGGCTAACTCACTGCTCACTACCAGCAGTTCGATGTCCTTAGTGCCTCTGCATTGACTCAGCCTTCCATCTTTCCAAGGTCAGTAAAATGAGGACCAGATGATTGGGGGCAATAGGCCAACTCTGTAAACCACTTAGAGAGAGCTGCAAAACCACTATGAAGCGGTATACAAGGCATGATTGGGACTTTGTGGTGGCTGCCATCTTGATTTTGGGGGGCTACCACCATCATTTCCATGGATACCCCTGCTTAATAATCCTACTAATGAACAAAGGCTGAAAGGTTCCTATTGTAGACTCCGGCTTGCTTGCTTCTTCCTTTCCCCGTATCTATATCTATCTATCTATCTATCTATCTATCTATCTATCTATCTATC